TTATAAGCCCCAACTGTATTCTTTTTTTTTTTTTTAAGATTTTTATTGGGGAATTGGGGGGATGGGAAGAGTGCTGGGGAATTGGGGGAAGGGGAACAGACAAGTTGCTGTCGTTTTGTTCTTCAGTCTAGTTGTGGAGGACGTTNGTATATGATGGTACTTTTATTTCAACTAGTTGCATCCTACAGCAGTGATTTTCAAAGTGGGGCCTCCAGACCAGTAGCACTAGCATCCCCTGGGGACCTGTTAGAAATGCACAGTTTCAGACCTCGCCCAGATCTACTGAATCAGCAACTCTGGGTGGGTCCCTGCAATCTGTATTTTCACAGGCCCTGTAGCTGATCCTGGTGTTCACTTTAGTCTTAGTGGAAGGAATTTATTTGGGTCTTAATTGAAGGGTGTGATAAGGATCACCCTTTTCCCAGAGCAGGGTGATTGCTTCTCTTCTTCTCTAGCATGGATTTGCAATAACTGTGTCCAAGCTCAGGCAGCCATTGTTGAATTCCTTCATAAACATGCTCTGTCACTGCCCACCCATCGTAGTGGAGATCTGATGCTGCTCCAGTACATCTGTTACGAAGCTGACTTCAGGGTGAGAGGAAATTAAAGCTATTCATCACAGACCATTTTCCCCCTAGTGACAGAAGAAATGAGCCTTAGCCTAACAAGGCTTCAAATTGGGCCCATGTACAAAAAACACAGAGCCTGACAAACACACTTTGGGTAGACTTACATTTTTCCCTTTGAAAACAAACCCTTTTCTGAACTGTACCAAGTTAATGGTGCTTAAGAAAAACTGGAGATGGATTCATCCCATCCTGTTTCATGACTTAGGCATATGTGGCAAGATGGCACTTCCCCCGGACCATTTCTTTCCTTCTCCTCCCTGGAAGGGGTTCCTTGATCAGAGAGGGAAAGGGTCTAAGACTCTGTGCACAAGGAGCCATGCTACTGCGGGGAGGGGGGCCTTAATATTTAGCAAGAAACATTTGTCTGTGTTGCAGAGTTGTTCTATGATCTGGCCCATTGCCTGCTTTTATAAATAAGCTTTTATGATAACACAGCCACACTTTGTATTGTCCATGTCTGCTTTCAGACCACAAAGAGTTGAGTAGTTGTGACAGGGACTGTATAACCTGCAAAACCTAAAATTTTTACTATCCAGCCCTTTATAGGGCAAGTTTGTTATTCCGTATTGGAGAGGTTCCCCATGAGCCGCCTGAAGGGACCTAGATGGAACCAGTGGGCCGGAAGGACATGGGAGGAGAGCAGAGTGGTGAAATACCCCAGGTCCCTCTGGAGCCCAGCAGAAGGGAGCGCGGCGAGGAGTGGCTCCTTCTTGCTTGTTTGTGTTGGGTACTGTATGGATTTTGAGAAGTGACTCTATTTAAAATATAATATATTTAAAAATTTAAACTCAGTGTATATTTGTGATTGTCTGATATTTATGCTTCTTTCTGGTGTTGAGCGTTACAGGCACAACTACAGAGTTATATGTTAAATGTTAGTAGCTAACATTTATCGGGTACATACCATGTGCTTTCCATCCATTCTATGATGTAACGTTCGCAACAATTCTATGAGATGGGTACTGTAGCCTCCATTTTACAGATGAGAAAACTGAAGTGCAGAAAGTTTAAATAATGCCTACTGTAGTGGAGCTGATGGTAGGACCTGGATTTAAATACAGGTCTTTTTTGATGCAAAAGCCGGCATTATAAACTATTGTTTTTCAAATTGTGGAGTGAGAAATAAGTTTGGCAAGTTTCAGCTAGCATTTAAAGACAAATTGAATAGAATGCCAAATACCAAAGTGTGTCATACTTAGTATGGGTAAATCTTGATACATGAAACTTTAGTTTCAACTATAAATTTACACACACACACACACACACATATATATATAT